TATCGTGTGGCCAACCCATCAGAAGGCAAGCTGCTGTAAGGCCATACTACACTGAGTTGCACATACTATACTGAGTTGCCCATCCATCGCAGGCAAATCTATGAAAGCCTCTACCGCTATCGTGTGGTCAACGCATCAGAAGGCAAGCTGCTGTAAGCCCATACTACACTGAGTTGCCCATCCATCGCAGGCAAATATCTGAAAGCCCCTACCGCTATCGTGTGGTCAACACATCAGAAGGCAAGCTGCTGTAAGACAAGACAGCTGTCTAGCGGGCAATTCATCAGGCTGTCACATATTACCCCGTCATCTCCTACCGATGTTTTAACACTGTGATTCCTTCGACAAATGTTGTCATTGAATTTTGGGGGAATTGATTATTTCTTGACGTCGAATGTAATCGATAATTTACTTGAATGATCTAACAGAACATCATCACAATTACCTTTTTAAAACATCACTAACTTGAACTGCCAATTGTCCTTGCAAGATTTTCTGAGAAACTTATGTGAACTGGGCGGGGCCTGGATTCATAATATTGACAGTGTGTTCCGGGACATAACTCTTCAAGCCGGGACATAACTCTTCAAGCCTCGCTGGCAGACATGGCGGACATCGAATTTTTTTCTTTCTTTGGAAACATTGACCTTTCCCACACTGTTTACGGTGAAAAACTTTGTGCTGGTGTTTCAGGACCTACGAGTTAGGACCTTCGAGCCAGGACCTACAAGTCAGGACTTGCATATACCGTGATGACATTTCCATGTGGAAATACGAAACGATTCATCATTTCTGTTTCTATTGTTACGTTGAAGCTAATGTGAGAACGTCATGTTTGTTTTCTTCACGTTTACCTTGGTTCATTCAGTTGCTGTTAATGACATTGTCACACAATGCTAGGAATGTCACTGTCACACAATGTTAATTGGCCGGGAAATCCCAGTCTTGGGAATTCCAGTTTGGTAATGTCCATTTCGTGCATCTTAGTCTTGGGAATGACACTTTGTGAATGTCAGTCTTAGGAATGTCAGTTTAAGGAATTTCTTTTGGGGAATGTTAATTAGGTGATTGTAAACTTTTTGGGAAAATTCATTTGGGGAAATGTCAATTAGGAAATGCTCATCGGGTGATAGGAATTGGGGATATTTCAATGGCTCTAAAAGAATGGGAATGGACATGTAAATAGGGGGCATGTGTATGGAGGACATGTGAATGGATTACAATTGAATGGAGGACATGTGAATGAAAGACTTGTAAATAATGACATATGAATTTGTCATATCAATTCTAAATGGTGAATAGTGATTCTATCACTCTATCGTTACTCTAAAAGTCTGTAAAGATCAAGTCACACACACACACACTCTCTCTCACACACTCACACTCTCTCTCACACACACACACACACACTCTCTCTCTCTCTCTCTCTCTCTCTCTCTCTCTCTCTCTCTCTCTCTCTCTCTCTCTCTCACTCTCACTCACTTTCTCTCAATAGACACATTTCCCCTGTGATAAATGTGCCAAACATAAAATAAAAAAGGATCAAATTAATTTGAGTGTCTCGCCATTTCTGGTGGTGTAGCCAGATGTTCTTCAAGGAGTACTATAGCCAGGTTTAAAGTGAAGAAATTTTAAGAAAGTTTGAATGGCCTGCCAGGCAACTATTGTCCCGATTGGGAAAAAAAAAAGAAGATAAGTGGTGGGGTGGGGGGGGTTGTCAAACGGATGATATGGACATTTGCAGTAACAACAGAACCACTCAATATGATATGTAAGGTTTGCATTCGGGGATCAGTCATAAAAACTAGGTGCAGAGGAAGAAAGGCCATCTGTCACAATGCAGTCCACACGGCGTATTGTCATCTGTCACAATGCCATTCACACAGTGTATTGTCATCTGTCACAAAACAGTTCACACTGTGTATTGTCATCTGTCACAATGCAGTTCACACCGCATATTGTCATCTGTCACAATCAGTTCACAACGTGTATTGTCATCTGTCACAATGCAGTCCACACTTGTGTATTGTCATCTGTCACATTGCAGTCCACACTGTGTATTGTCATCTGCCACAATGCAGTTCACACCGTGTATTGTCATCTGTCACAATGCAGTTCACACCATGTATTGTCATCTGTCACAATGCAGTCCACACTGCGTATTGTCATCTGTCACAATGCAGTCCACACCGCATATTGTCATATGTCACAATGCAGTTCACACCGTGTATTGTTATCTGTCACAATGCAGTTCACACCGTGTATTTTTTTTTTTAAACCAGGATTATTAATTCATGTCCTTTCCCCTGGTTAACGTGTCATTGGATTCATTCGTCTAATCGTTCTGCCAAATGAAAAACAAAACACATTTTTCCTCAAATTATCCCCCTCTGCCTTTTTTGCACAATTTTGAAATCCCAATGATTAGATATGAGGTGACGCTCTGTAGAAATGTTTGTTTGTTCTTTGAGAGTACACATGTCAGAAACGTATTGGTACATTTTTGGTTGGTCTTTGAGAGTGTACACGTCAGAAAAGTATTGGTAAATGTTTGGTTGATCTTTGAGAGTACGGGATTTGGTATTTCATTGGTCAATTTATAGTTGAGCTTTGAGAGTATCAAGTCAGTATTTCATATGTTAATGTTTGGTTAAGCTTTGAGAGTGCAAAAGCTAGTATTTGATTGGTTGCGCTTTGAGAGTGCAAAAGCTAGTATTTGATTGGTTGAGCTTTGAGAGTGCAAAAGCTAGTATTTGATTGGCTGAGCTTTGAGAGTGCAAAAGCTAGTATTTGATTGGCTGAGCTTTGAGCGTGCAAAAGCTAGTATTTGATTGGCTGAGCTTTGAGAGTGCAAAAGCTAGTATTTGATTGGCTGAGCTTTGAGAGTGCAAAAGCTAGTATTTGATTGGCTGAGCTTTGAGAGTGCAAAAGCTAGTATTTGATTGGCTGAGCTTTGATAGTGCAAAAGCTAGTATTTGATTGGCTGAGCTTTGAGCGTGCAAAAGCTAGTATTTGATTGGCTGAGCTTTGAGAGTGCAAAAGCTAGTATTTGATTGGTTGAGCTTTGAGAGTGCAAAAGCTAGTATTTGATTGGTTGAGCTTTGAGAGTGCAAAAGCTAGTATTTGATTGGTTGAGCTTTGATAGTGCAAAAGCTAGTATTTGATTGGCTGAGCTTTGAGAGTGCAAAAGCTAGTATTTGATTGGTTGAGCTTTGATAGTGTAAAAGCTAGTATTTGATTGGTTGAGCTTTGATAGTGTAAAAGCTAGTATTTGATTGGTTGAGCTTTGATAGTGTAAAAGCTAGTATTTGATTGGCTGAGAAGCCTACGCACGATGTACATCGGTTGCTTTTTAAAACTAGATCATTGCGCGTGCATTTTTTTCACATTAACAAATATATTTATACAACGTGTAAAAAAAGAGAGTGTAAAAAAAGAGACGGCTATTGTTTTGATAACTGCATTATGTTCATTTATGAATGTTCATCAGAGTCTTGTCAAGTTAAGACAATTGTTTTCATATGATGACCCCTTTATGCAAAATATGCAACTCTAAATTTTCCAATGAGTGGAAATATTTGTGCCTGAAGATGTGGAGCTGGTCGCAAAATGTATGACAGCAAAAGTTGTTCATTTTGTAAAGCATTTTTTAAATGTTTGGTTTAGTTGAAATAGGCTTGTTGAGTCAAATCTGCTCATTCGTGTATGCCTGTTTGAATGCTTCCTTTACAACAATGTTGATCAGCCTGACCAGGTAAGTCTGGGATACAAATTTGTATATTTTTATTTTGTTGTGGCGCTCTCAGATATCTGAACGTCTCCAGCGATAGAATCTATCTAGATAATTGGCTCTGACTCACATTCTTTTTTCAGCAAGGTCTTTGGACAAAGAATTATTTTCTTGGTGGTTCAAATTTGAAAATTGTATTCTAGCATTCTTTTCTCCCTCCATGCTGGTGGCTTGTTGTTTTTGTTTGCGGCAATGATATGTCAAGTTTAAAAAGTGAATTTATTTGTGTGTCTCCCCGCGTGCTTAAATTCATCTCAGTACATATCACAAACGGAGAATTTTAAGCCGTGATTTTACCAAGTCCTGCTAACCCAATCATCTCTAGAAAGTCAGGCGATAAAGCTTAGGATGACATGTAACTGCCTAACCCAATCATCTCTAGAAAGTCAGGCGATAAAGCCTAGGATGACATGTAACTGCCTAACCCAATCATCTCTAGAAAGTCAGGCGATAAAGCCTAGGATGACATGTAACTGCCTAACCCAATCATCTCTTAGAAAGTCAGGCGATAAAGTCTAGGATGACATGTAACTGCCTAACCCAATCATCTCTAGAAAGTCAGGCGATAAAGCCTAGGATGGCATCTAACTGCCTAACCCAATCATCTCTTAGAAAGTCAGGCGATAAAGCCTAGGATGACATGTAACTGCCTAACCCAATCATCTCTAGAAAGTCAGGCGATAAAGCCTAGGATGACATGTAACTGCCTTACCCAATCATCTCTAGAAAGTCAGGCGATAAAGCCTAGGATGACATGTAACTGCCTAACCCATCATCTCTAGCAAATCAGACGATAAAGTCTGGGATGACATGCGAGTGCTGCTAACCAAAAGTAAGGTAGGCGTTGGTCCTGAAGCAAGCTTCACATGTGGTCAGGAAGAATATGTTCCAAAGGCCGGGCGTTTTACGGGATTGGTTCTAGTTATAAATATTTTTTGAAACATAACTCGCCAAAAAAATTGTGCCATTCTTTTATATATTATTTAGAAATGAGCTTGACGTCAAACTAAGAAAAAGTTAGTTATTGAAGGCGGTGGCGTAGGATTAGGGGGTGAGGGTGGGTGTCGTCCGCCCCATGCTGTCCTTTTTCTCTCGATATGGAGATGCAGCATTGTCGGTTAATCGAATAGGTTTTTTTTTTATCGGAAGTGGCGGTTTAAATCTTGACCCGCCCTGGGAGGCAAGAACCCTAGCTAAGCCACTGATAGAAGGAGGGAATAGGATTGATAGTAACTCTACGAAATGAAAGTTGATATACCTTGACCTTGAGCTGAGGCCCACCTATGGTATGAAACAAAAACCTTGGACCTGAGCTGAGGCCCTTCTATGATGTGAAACAAAACCTTGGACTTGAGCTGATGCCCTCATATGGTATGAAACAAAACCTCTGATCGACTTCTGGTCAACGTTTGATGGACTTCTGGTCGACTTCTCGTCAACTTCTGGTGGACTTTTGGTCAACTCCTGGTCCACTTCAGTTCAAATTATGGTCTATTTCTGGTCAACTTCTGGTCGACTTCTGGTCAAATTATGGTCGACTTCTATTCAACGTTTGGTCAACTTCTATTCAACGTTTGGTCAACTTCTGGTCAACTTCTGGTCGACTTCTATTCGAATTCCGGGCCACTTCTGATCAACTTCTTGTCGACTTCAGGTCGACTGCTCTTAGACTTCTGGTTGACCTTTGGTCGACTTTTGGTCGACTTGTGGTTGAATTCTGTTCGATTCTGGTCGACTTCTGGTCGACTTCTGGGCTACAATATCAGAAACATTATAAAAGTAATAAAGACAGTTCAAAAAAGTATGATCAACATATTTTCATAACTCTTTCCCCATATACGCCTCGACCCTCTCTCACATTACATCCATACTATCTCTCACATTACATCCATACTATCTCTCACATTACATCCATACTATCTCTCACATTACATCCATACTATCTCTCACATTACATCCATACTATCTCTCACATTACATCCATACTATCTCTCACTTTACATCCATACTATCTCTCACATTACATCCATACTATCTCTCACATTACATCCATACTATCTCTCACATTACATCCATACTATCTCTCACATTACATCCATACTATCTCTCACATTACATCCATACTATCTCTCACATTACATCCATACTATCTCTCACATTACATCCATACTATCTCTCACATTACATCCATACTATCTCTCACATTACATCCATACTATCTCTAACATTACATCCATACTATCTCTCACATTACATCCATACTATCTCTCACATTACATCCATACTATCTCTAACATTACATCCATACTATCTCTCACATTACATTAAAACTATCCATAACATTACATCCATACTATCTCTCACATTACATCCATGATATCTCTCACATTACATTCAAACTATCCATAACATTACATCCATACTATCTCTAACATTACATCCATACTATCTCTCACATTACATTCAAACTATCCATAACATTACATCCATACTATCTCTCACATTACATTCAAACTATCCATAACATTACATCCATACTATCTCTAACATTACATCCATACTATCTCTCACATTACATTCAAACTATCCATAACATTACATCCATACTATCTCTCACATTACATTCAAACTATCCATAACATTACATCCATACTATCTCTAACATTACATCCATACTATCTCTCACATTACATTCAAACTATCCATAACATTACATCCATACTATCTCTCACATTACATCCAT